TCGTTTTGTTTGTTTCTTTCTATCTATCTATCTATCTATCTATCTATCTATCTATCTATCTTTTTAGGTCTAATCTGTCAACTTTCCATTACTACCCTGCTTGATGTTCTTTCCGATTTGCTCTGTCTAAGTTTTTTTTTCCTCCTGGGAAATTAAATTTTATTTAGCCCCGCGTAGACATTAATTATAAGTATAAACTCATGGCGATGACGTTTATTAAATTTCATTTCCATTTCTCTTTTAGTTTGGTGTTGGCGTAGATATTCTTGAAAATGGTTGAATGAGAATCTGCCTAAAGATAAAAGAAACAACTACCTCAATTGTAATTTAAAAATAAATAGCGAGACGAAGTCACTGAGTAAGATAGACATCTTGGTGACACCCAGTGTTAGATATTGACTTTCGATATATTATTCTCTCGTCTAACTCACCGAGAATCAACTTCAGGGTATCATATTTAAATCAAACTGTCATGAATCCTAAATATAATGATTCCACAAAGTCTGGCAGCTCATAAAAAAAAACGGTAAATCTGTAGGTATATTTTCTATTCGAATATGATCGTCATGCTGGATAGAATTTCAGGCTATCATTGATAGATCGAATCAATAGACATACGAGATGATTTCTAATTATAACAGAGGATCGAACTTGTTAAAACCGATCGGTTAATCACCTCCGCCAGCTCAAACAATATCCGTACTGTCTGTAATTGAAGCTTCAGCATTGCAATCGTCCTGATAGGTCTTTCGTTTTTATTATTGCTATATTGATTTGATGAGAAGGATCAAAGTCTATTTTTTTCTTAGAGCAGATCGATATGTATTGTGTAACTCTGGTTGCGATGCCGATCCTTTATTCGTTTCTCTCGCTTGATGCCATTCTAGTTCTTTTACGGTTTTTGTTCTGCCGAAGAGTTTTTCTTTAAAATTATCTCATCCCTTATATTAGAACATTTTTCCATTTTTACGGTTGAGTTTGGCTTTTGAAACTGCGAATTCTTTCTTTCTTCTGCGATCCTTTGCATTCTGTTTCTTTTTTACGTTAACCGTTCCTTCTATGGAATTCCTTTCCTCTTTTTCTTCGATTACGACTTTCTTTCTTTTTAGTTTCTTTCCTTCCTCTACTATTCCTTGGATTCTATTTATTTTCGCGTCAATCTACCTTTGGACATATTTCTTTCATTTTTATCAATTACGTTTGCTTTCTTTCTTTTCCAATTCTTTGCCTTTTGTTTCTTTTTTCACGTTAATCTTTCTTTCTTTGGAATTGTTTTCTGCTTTTTCTTCACTTACGTTCTTGTTTTTTTTTTTTTTAGTTTCTTTCCGTCTACGATTCTTTGGATTCTGTTTCTTTTTTCGCGTCAATCTTCCTCTGGACGTATTTCTTTCATTTTTGTCAGTTACGTTTGCTTTGTTTCTTTTTTTCTTCTGTGATACTTTTCTGTTTCTTTTTTCACTGTAATCTTACTTTCTTTAGATTTGTTTCCTTCTTTTTCTTCACTTGCATTTTTCTTTCTTTTTTTTTGCTTGTTTATTTCTTCTATTGCATTCTGTTTCTTTTTTTCGCGTTAATCTTTCTTTGGATTTGTTTTCTTCTTTTTTATTCACCTACGCTTTTCTTTCTTTCTATTTCATTGCGTCATTTTCTTCAGTTCTTTCTTTCTTTCTTTCTTTCCTTCCTTCTTTCTTTCTTTCTTTCTTTTGGTATTGCTTCTACCTTTTGATTATGTTTGTTTTTCTTTTTTACTTTCTTTTTTCCCTTGAAAGTGATTTCCTTCCTTTTCCTCGCCTTTCTTTCTTTCTTTCTTTCTTTCTTTCTTTCTTTCTTTCTTTCTTATTGGTTCCTTCTTTTTACTGTTCTTTCTTTGGATTTGATTTTATGTTTTTCTTTCTTTCTTTTTTTTAGCTTTTTTTCATTCTGATATGATTCTTTGATTTTTATTTCTCTGTTCGCGTTAATCTTTCTTTGAATTTGTTTTCCTTTTTATTCACCTACGTTTTTCTTTCTTTCTTTCTTTCTTTCTTTCTTTCTTTCTTTCTTTCTTTCAATTTGATTCTTTGTTTTCCCTAATACAGATCCTTCTGTATTTCTTTTCATTGAACCCTTTTCTTTTTCTTCCCAATCTCTACCGTTAACAGGTTATGTCTGTAGCCGTATCTTTTTTCTTAGATTTAAACACGCATCTTTGCTTAATACAATACGTCTTCTCTTATTTTTCGCTTCCTGTGGCATATGTTTTTGTTCTTCTTCCGAATCTTGGTTGTATATTTTCTATTTATTCTATTGAAATATCATTGAATGCTTCTTTTTGGTAAAGAAAAAAAAATAAAGAAAAAAACAGACACAAGCTACTTTTTCAAATCTAGCCAAAGTTTTAACAACAGGATTGCGCCTACTCGTTCAGTTTTGCTTAGAAAGAGTTAATGTGCAAGTCGTTTTTTTAAATTTAACCACAATGCTTCTCTTTTTCGGGGCATTTTCTCCGTATTTATTTCAATATTACTAGCTAAATACCCATTCTAAAATGTCTGAATAGACAACATTTTCAGCGAGATATCTCTTTTCAAACGTTTTTCTTTTGCCATTAAGCTAAATCTATTTGAATTCCTGACTCTCGACGTAACTACATAGAGGAGACCATGACAGAAACATTTGAACTATTTTCTCAGAGATAGGACCCGTAAAAATGTTATGGGACCTTACAATACACACAGACAGAACAATCAAAACTAATCGCTAAAACATCGTGATCAAAGATCATAAAAACACTTTCTTTTTAATTATTTACCGTTCTGTTGAATTTTCTTGAATGAACTTCGACGATAGAAACCAAAGTATGAATGTTGGTACTATTACCGAAGGCCTGAATGATCTTTTTCCTCTCATCATTGCTCAGTTTGGAAATTATAATGTGGCTGACACAATACTATTGTATCCTGTTCTATTTGTAATTGAATAACTTAAACGATTTTTCAGTGATTCTTACGACAAATGGTGTCAAGATGGCTACACGCCTTATCTGAAAACCTGGAAAAAAGTAACTCAGTTTAGTGTTTTATATATAGAGGGGGGGGTCGGAAAGCTCGCCAGAGCAGGTGACAGGAAAATATTTATAGAAAAGACAGAGAGAAGCCACGCCATTTCGGTGAGGAAGTCGGGATGCCAAGTAAGTATGGATTACATTACAGATCCATATCTGCATCTTGACAAGAACTTCGAGATGAATAGCAAGGGCACTAGACCAGATATGGCAAAAGCATTCAATGCACGGACGAATGGTAGATTTGTAAGCGTGTAAGATGGACTCTTACGTGAAAAAAGTTTTTGGCACGACACAGTGACCCAACTTTCCTTACAGTAGATGCAGCAATTGATGTATCGTTCCACTTCAAATCAGTTAAAAACGTGAGGCCAAGAAGACGCAGTGCGTTTTTCTCCCGGAGTCTAGCATAAGCCATGTTGATGGCAAGCAGGGAAGTTTCTCTATGGTAGTTAAATGTAAGTAGTTTTGTTTTGGAATGCATTAAAATTTACAAGCCATTTCCAGCTCCAGTTAACTACTGATTGGAGGTCCTTTTCAAGAACATCAGCCGGGTTTACTTTGTCAGCTCTGACGGATTTGCTATAGAGACAGGATTAAATGGTAGTCTCATCTGCATAAATGTCTACTTGGGAACTGATGACATCAGGTAGATCATCGATGAAGATAAGAAAGAGCGTAGGATCCAGGATAGAGCCTCGGGGGATACCTGTGTTCGGGTGAAAGGGTCTGGAGGTGATACTGTTTAAAACGACCTTCATTTCACGATTTGATCGGAACGATTTGAGTGAATCAAACAATCACCCTGTATTACTGTAGCTCTGAAGCGTATCAAACCCTGTCAAACGGCTATGAGATATCTAGAGACACAGCTCTAGCTTTGCCGTTATTATCAAGCGCTCGATATGCATATTCAGTAATGGCCGTACGAATGTTAATGGTAGACCGGGCAAAACGGAAGCAATATTGTTTGCCCAAGAGGTTTTTATGAATTTATTTTTTCACGTAATCTTGTAAACTTATATTAATAAATTTAGATGTCTTAAATTGTTTGAATTATATAGATTAGTTCTTACTAGATTAATTTAATGCTATAGCCCTTTAGAGTGTTGTTGATCGTGACTCTACACAGGTTCTTTTTATCATATGGAAATTGCCTTGATTTCTTGGAAACGATGTGGAGTAGTTTTCAAATATTTCCACGCGGTTTTTTGAAATTCAGAATTGTCCTAGACTACCTGCTACCTGCAAACTACAGACCCCAGTCTGCCATTGTATGCAACTCGGAGAACTGTAGCAGAGTGTAAAAACGGCCTGAGCATTTTAACGATAAAGATTAGAAGCAATCATATTTTGAAAAAAAACTATTCACACTGCTTCACCGATGAAATTCGGGCAATTAAAGACCAGAATAACTTTTACTACTACCCGATGGAAATAAATAATCAAGCATAAATCATGGCATAATATGATTAATTGAAATGATGTCTTCTGGTTAGCCTTCGTTGCCTAATAAATTTAAAAAAATTGCCATAGATAGAAATGCTCCTGAAGCAGGGAGATATGAATTCATATGATACCAGAAACTAAATTTTCATTTTTGATCGACAGGGTTTATTCAATTGTAGAATTTAAAAACGACGTGAGCACCGTAAAGTGAAAAAAAAAAAAAAAACTCAAATAAGATAAACAGATACTGTAAAAAAATGAAATACCAAAAAAAAAAAAAAAGGAACGAGAATTAATCTTTACAAAATTGGAGTTATTTTTACCCACTTTGAAATGTCCTATTGCGAATTCTGCTGATTACTGCCGTTCCATTTTTGATGTCCAAATTCTCCATCAACATTTCGTGGATGCAGCGAGCATAGAGAAAAATGGCGTCGTAAAGATGGGCCGCAAAAAGAGGAATCTATAAAAAAGAATAAACGAATGAGTTTTAAGAATTATCGTCTCTCTTAGCAGATTGAAACGAAAGTTCTTGCGATTCATGAAACATCAATTCTATTATGATACCGCGAGAATTTTCCCTCCAATCTGATACAACAGTTAATTTCATGTCTATTTAAACAGATTCATATATAAATCGGAGACAAATGAAGAAAAATACAAAATATATTTCAACACATTGTCATTCCTTGAAAAAAACACTTAGTTCAATAAGGAATATTAATTGGTTAGATTAAGCATTATACAGAGAAAAATATAGATTAAATCTAATCTAATAACTATATTAAGGTCTTATTGAACCACCCCCCCCTTAATTATATATATAATCACTTCCGTTAAGCTAACCTTTTAAATAGGTCATGGTCTGGTCACTCCTCCTCCCCCAATACTAAGTATGATATATATATATATATATAATATATATATATATATATATATATATATATATATATATATATATATATATATATATATATATATATATATATATATATATATATATATAAGAAAAAACATACCACTTCAAGGTTCCATTATAATAATTTATTTCACCAGAGCCGTTTTAAAGGACTCAGGATCATCAGATAGCACTTCCAAAAATGAAAATGATGGGTAGTGTAATTTTTTGTAATTTAACAGAGTTTAATAGGGGTAGTTAGAGAGACATGGTAGATTTTAGGAGGGTTTAATTTTATATCTCTCTCAATCATACTTAGTATTGGGGTAGAGGGAGTGACCAGACCTTGACCTATTTTAAAGGATAGCTTAACGGAAGTGATTATATATATATATATATATATATATATATATATATATATATATATATATATAGATAGATAGATAGATAGAGAGAGAGAGAGAGAGATAGATAGATAATCAATCAAATGACCCCATCCAAAGCAGGAAAGTCACTAAAACGGAAGTTCTATTATCCCGTAATCTGTAGGATCGTAGGGGCAGCATGTTTACTGTAGTCACAGTTACTTAGGCAAGATAGCCTGTCAGATCCCCTCCCACTCCGGTTTTGAATTCAGAGGTACCTTCTCCTAGAAAGTTATAGAACACAGTCTGTCCTGCTATTGCTTGGGAGAGAAGTAAAGGCTTCATTTCTTTCCCAATGGATCCGACTAGAGTTCGAACTCGGCTTCCTGATTCCTCAATCCGAGCCGCTATCCATTACTCTATATATGTATATAATGAAATAGATTAAATCCGACAATTATTTAATATATTTTCTGTTTATACGTTATTTTTTATAGATACACTTGATTGAAGTAAATGCTTTGTTTTTAATTAAACAGTATTAATTACATTTACCGGACTGAATGTTCGAGGAATGTCGTAGAAAATATGCATTCTCCGACTGGAATCGAACCTGTATTCATATACGGAAACCGTTATTTGATCTGGCGTGTGGATAAACTGCCCAAGTTTCATATTTTGCTGTGTTTGTGTTCGAGTACTTTCGAAATATCAGTCATTAACTTGGTCTTACGATTAATCTCTGTGCAAGCGTTTTACACACGATGGAACGCAAGAATTCAGATTAATACAAAGATAAAAATAAAATAAATAAATCTCATTGTTTTTGTTCAGCCTCGATATCAATAACCGTTACATATGACGTCACGGTCACATGTTTTAACCGTCTAGCTTCTGAAAGAATAACTGCATGCAGACAATGAAATTCTAACTACTACACAGGCATCGAATTCAGTTATTCAAAAAACTTTATTTTCAGTAACCTAGTTTCATACCGGCGACACTGAAGATGACTCGGACGAAAGTTACCTTAGGTTATAATTTTAAGGTGATACTAATAAATTATGATCACTATTTCATATGTTCCGGAAAGGGATATATTTGATCGAAGAAGCTAAGTGGGTTTGGCTACTGTAACCAAGTAGTACACGGT